CCAAAATGAATAGAATGCTCCACAGTGACGCCCTGTGGACTTTCAACAATGATTCCTGCTCCGCTTCCTTTAAGGTTTTAAGATCCGTCGTCTGTCTGAGTCTGTTGGGAGTGCGTCATTTCTACAAGAAAATCAGCTAATACCTGGGCTTGAATAGTCTGGCGCGGTTCGTAAATGATGTCATATTCTGATAATTCTATTGACCAGGTAATCATTCGTCTAGCCAGTTCAGGTTGACGTAAGACCTGTCTAAGTGGCTGATTAGTTCTGACTTTGACGGTGTGCCCCTGGAAGTAATGTCGCAAACGACGAGATGTTATAATGAGCGCGAAAGCCACTTTTTCGATCTATTGATAACGTAATTCTGGACCTTGAAGGACTTTGCTGACAAAATAAATTGGTTGTTGTCCCGGGTGTCTTCGCGCAATAATATCGTGTTAATGGCCTCGCCACTGATCGAAAGGTATAAGACCAAGGCTTCGTCCGGTTGAGGTCTCACCAAGACTAGAGCATTAGCCAAATGTTCTTTAATAGCAGTAAATTCTGCTTCGCATTCTGGCGTCCAATTAAAGTCTATTTGTTTTCGCAACAGTTTGAACATGGGTAATGACTTTTGTGCTAATGCTGGCAGGAATAGAGTTAGAGTTGTTATCCTTCCAGTCAACTGTTGCAATTCCTTAATATTTCGAGGGCTAATCATGTCGAGGACTGCTTTGCATTTGTCAGGGTTTTCCTCTATGCCTCGATGCGTTAAAATGAATCCTAAGAATTTTCCAATTGGAATCCCAAATGCGCATTTGGCTAGATTAAGTCGCAATCTATATTTGCGCAACTGTTAAAACACCTGCTCTAAATCGTGAGGGTGTCATGGGGTGGTCATTGTTTTGACAATCATGTCATCTATATATACTTCTAGCATCTTACCAATCTGTTGGCTGAAGACCTTGTTCATCATCCGTTGATACGTCGCGCCTGCATTCTTAAGACCGAATGGCATCATATTGTAGCAATAAGTAGCCTTTTCGGTGATAAAAGCAGTAGCTTCCTTGTCCTGTTTAAACATGGAGATTCGGTTGTACCTTGAAAACGCATCCATGAAGAAGAGAATTTGGTATCCCGCAGAATTATCTACCAATTTGTCAATGGTAGGAAGAGGATAGAAATCCTTTGGGCAATGTTTATTAAGGTATATGTAATCGGTACACATGCGCCATTTGCCACTGGCTTTTTTGACTAGCACGACGTTAGAGAGCCAAGTGGAATAGGTGATTTCTCGAATGATTCCTGCGTCGAGTAGCTTTGTTACTTCTGTATCTACCACCTGTTGTTTCTCCAGAGATATTTTACGCTTCTTTTGCGCGATGGGTTTGGCTTTTGGATCAAGGGTAAGATGATGGCATATTACATCAGGATTTACTCCTGGAATGTCGCCTGTTGTCCAAGCAAAAAGATCTTTATTTCATAATAATACTGCCACCAGTTTTTTTTCTCCATTTCTGGTAAATGACGTCCAATTTTGGTCACGTTTTCAGGTAACGGACCAAGTTATAGATCTTCTAGCTCTCCGTCAGGCTGGGGTCACGTATCGCGCAGATCTTCGCGCATGTCTAAGTCAGTCATGTTGATCGATGCCTTGCCTTTCTCATCGTGATGAGTTGCTGACTTGACTCATAAGCTGGTGTTCTTACAGCTTCGCGCTGCTTTCTGATCGCCTCTAATGGCAACAACAGCGCCAGTGGAATCTCGAAACGTCATAAAAAGATGAGGCATAAAGATAATTGCCTTTAAAGCGACAATGGTGGGACGTCCCAAGATGACGTTATATGCTGACGCATATTCAATAACATAAAACCGTACTTTGACAGTACAAGGCAGATGCATGATCCCAAAGGTTACCCACATTTCTATGGTACCTTTAGGTTGTACACATTCACCGAAAAAACTGATCAAATTTGTGCACCCTGGAATTAGATGTTCTTCTAGGATGTTCATTGCGCGGAACGCATCCCAGAAGATTATGTCAGCAGAACTCCATTATCAATCATAATTCATTTTACCTGGAGATTGGCCATACAAGCAGAGATCACCAATGGATCTTCATGGTCTGGGATGATGTCGCCATAATCATCATCGTCAAAACTTATGGATTGACGCTTGGCGCGGGATGTGGATGAATGTGCATGATCGCAAACTGTCATGACTGATTTCAGGTGTTTCTTACGTTGCGAGCTAGTTGCTCCTCCCCCGTAGTTCCACCAGCAATGGTGGCTAACACTCCGGCAGCGTTATTGGGAAATTGGTGCTGTTGTGCGGCCTGTTGTCTATCCCGCAGTGGAGTTCCTTGACGTCTATCAGTGGGGACATCGTGCGTGTTCCTGTTATCATTATTTCTGGCATGGTTATAGTCTCTTCTGGGATATGTCGTTTGTCGGTCAGGGTTTTGATCGCGATCAGGACTTCTATCGCGCCTTCTTTGTGCCTTATACTCTCTACAACTAGAAATGAATTCTTGGAGTTTGCCTGCTCTAATAAATATTTCAATGGTGTTTTTCAAGTCAAAACACTCATCAGTGGTATGATCGGTGTCATTATGGAACTTGCAGAATTTGGTTTCGTCATGTTGTCCTCCTTTTTTCAGCGGTGGGGGTTTAGCAACGCGCACGTAACCAGTTTGGAAGACTTCTTTCAGGATTCGTCTTCTGGATGTATTCAAGGGAGTGTAATAATCAAACTTTTCCCACTTTTTTTTCTCGCGGAATCGTCGTTGAAAATTCTTTTGGACATCTTTTTCCAAATGGTCTGATTCTGTTTTGGTACCAGACGTATCCCGTGATCGTTTTTAATCTTCAAGATTAATGAATTTTTCAGATCGCACTCGTAGTTCCTCTATGGTTCATGGGCGTTGTTTTGCCAACGACATAGAGAAAGGACCCTCAAGCAATCCTTCTATGATAAGATATAGGGACACTTGTGGATCTAAATCTCTTACTAGGAGCGCTTCATCAAAAAACCTATTAAGGTAATCACACAGAGTTTCATGTGCTCCTTATCGTACAAATTTTAAGGCATGTGTGGATTTATATTGCGCTTTTCTTGTTGCAAACCGTACAAGGAATTGGCTAGTTAGATCCTCCCAACTTTGAACTGAATTAGGCAGTAATGCGGAGTAGCATCTGAGTGCTACTTCCTTCAAGGTTGTTGGGAATAGCTGGCAAGCTATGGGATCAACCACATCTTGTGCCATCATGTTCGTCTGGAATTGTTCAAGATGTTCCTGTGGGTCTCCCTTTTCGTTATACTTCTCGATTGTAATTTTTACGTCCCTGGGAATGGGGACGCTCATGATACATGGGGTGAATGGATGAAAGACACAGGAAACTGTTCTAGAATTTCCCTGAGAATTTTCGTTGGTTTCTTTTTCTTCATCTCCTTTTTTGTTCTGACCAGAAGGTTCAGGATCTTGTTTTGAATGTTCATGTACTTGTTCACTCTCGCTAGAATTTTCAAATTCTTTTTCGGCTTCTTTTTCAGGTTCTTTTTGTTTTTATTTTCCCTTTTCTTAATTTCTCTCTCTAGCCTTTTGTGATTTTTTCAATCGAACTAAATCTCGATTCTGCTGGGAATTTTTTTGTTCTGCTGAGTGATAAGTTTCAATAGGTGCTGGGTTGTTGGTGGGCATCGTGGTACACGAAGATTGGTGTGACCGACGAAGCTGATTTTTCACGGGAGGCATGTGTTTCTTTCTGCGTCCCCTTGAAACCGTTCTCGGATTTGCTTCAAGTATCAACCATGTTTTTAAATTGTGAGTGGATGGATTCTAAATGATAGAAACTTCCCACAGACGGCGCTAATGATCGGACCAAATACAATATGGGCTGGCCAAAGTGTACTGGGCCAAATCACACACGGTTGAAGTAAGAAGGCTTTTGGGCAATCTGTCATTTGGGCTAGTTGATGATGATGATAGGACTTTGGTTCTCCTTCGGCACGGTGAGCCTGACTGGGGGTTACCTGCAATGACACTCCGATGCTCAAGTCAGTACCAATGTCAGGTTTATGTGTATTCTTACTGAATTAGATGATAATACCTTGGCATGTACCCTCTGCTTATATAGTAGTTCTGATGCCGCCTTAGGAAGGCGATATGGCCTCTGATTGGCTGTTCAAGGGCTGCAGGTTCTGATAATGCCTTAATAGCCTTATCTCTTGATGTCAGGCTACCTTGATAGAGTAGTGACAAGCTGGAGTTGTCTTCTGTTTGTTTCCTTATCTTTGAAGTTATGTTAAAGGTCGGTTACATGCGCGATGGTGGCATCGCGCCATGTTATGTGCGATATAAGCCATCGCGCCCCACTCTGAACCTTGTGGGTTTGGACTTTTGTTCTATGTATTTAGACCTCTGATGAGCCTATCATATTTTATTTGGATCACTACCTAAGAAAAAAATGGGGAGACAAAAACTCTATGGAATTGTCTCACTCATCATTTTGATAAAAAATCAGAATTGTGGTTTCTCAACATGCGATCTTATCGATAACCGGTTTTTTAGTGGTTCTCTCCGTAATTGTGTATTTGTGTAGCTTTACTATGATTTTTTTAAAAAGAAAATTTACTAATTTTTTATGTTCTTTTTCTTTAATACAAAGTGGTGTTATTTGTCACAATTTATGAGACAACATTGGAAGCACAACGCAAAAAATTAATAAATTAAAGGTTGAGTTAGTAAATTGCATATAAAAGTTATGAAAAAAAAAAGTTTTCAAGTAACATTACATGTATCCAAAAATAAATTTAATAATACATAAAAAAAATGTGACATTAATTGAATAAAAAAGAATTCAATCTCTTTAATCAAAATTTCAGATTCAAATCTCGCAAATAAAATAAAAATTAGTATAATTATCAGAGTCTAAAGTGACCATCTTTTTCAAGTTTTTTTTTTTATAAAAAATTTAGATATATTATGAGAATAAATAAACAGAGAACATAAGGTTCAACTTGACGAAAAACGAGAATTAAGGCTGAAAAACACACTATACTACTGTCATACCTCTTGATGCAACATCATTATAAAAAGCTGTCAATGGAAAATAAAAAAACTCTATACAACGACTGAGATCATCGGAAACTCGGTCAGTAAGATGATTTTGAAAGAAAAATAAAAAAACAGATATAAAAGGATCATCAAAGTCCAACCATCCCAGATTTAACCACATTCAACGAGAGCTAAAGGGCAACAACAACAAATATAAGAGAAAAAATGAAAATATATGTCCTCCTCAAGAAGCTGCAGCCTGGGGCAGTTAGACATCTGTAGCATTCGAATCATATGATGGGAGAAGCCAGCCCTTCCTGAGGGCATGCTCCACATAGAAGCCAAATTTATCCTTTGCGTTAGGAATGTCCAGAGCAAGATCATCAAGACTATCCTTGATTCGGGTGAACCCTTTAGTCATCTGATTGATGGTGATCAGACCTTCACTAAAGCATTCCTGCAGCAAACCCAGCATCCTATCATTCTTCTTCTCCATGGCCATAACCAAAGCTTTCTTCACAACCTCATGGTTAAAGAAAGGCATTCCTAGGTCACGAATACACTGGCATGCTTCACTCACAACACCTCCGCTCTCATACTCCTCCAAGAGCTTCATGATCTTGTCCTTAGCATCTTCCACAGCCCATCCAGTCCCACCACCCCAACATCTCAATAGCCTCTCACCAGCATGACGAGCAGCAACGAGTGAACGAGCCATCCGCACAGTTTCACTCCCACTGCATTTTGGGGGTAACATGCTGCCAATTTCTACCAAATGCAGAGGAGCCAATACATCATCAATCACAGCTCGAGCCAAAAAAAGGGCAAGTTCATTTGAAGCATTCAATATATCCAGTGCTGTATCTTCTGCACTTTCCAGAAGCATGAAAAAACCATTAATTATATCCTCTGTTGAGAAGATCTCTATATGAAGAGCAGCTAGCAGTACAGATGCCATTTCCTTTTCCCTGTTCTTTCTGTCCATAGCAAGTGTTATTAGCTTCTTCAAAAATATGGGGTTATACTCAGGTGTCCCAAGATCTTCAAGACTTCGAATGAGTTCAGGAATGTCATCAGAGAGAAAATATTCGTGAATTATAGTTACCACCTCTTTTTTGTACTTCCTCAAATTTTCATCTTGAACTTGGACATCCCCAACTTCACCAGAGGGTTTCATAAATGAAGCATCAAGGCATCCTTCTGATATTGCCTCGCGTATCAATGACTGAAACAAAGTTTTAGCTGATGGAATATCAAGAGCAAGATCATCTAGGACTTCTGCCAAACGAGAAAACCCTTTAACCATTTGGCTGGAACTAATGAGTCCTTCTGCTGCTGCTTCTTTTAATAGCTTTAACATTAGAGGTTCCGCTGAATGGATCTCCATGGCAAGCACCAGAGCCCTCTTCACGATCTCATGATGGAAGAATGAAACCCCTAACTCACGTATACACCTACAGGCTTCAAATGTATCACCGCTACTCACGTATTCTCTTAGTAAATCAGCAATCCTCTTCTTCACATTTTCAACAGTTAGCTGAGTGCTACCACCCCATCGCCTCTCCACAAGTTCTGCATGGTGCGGAGCTGAGAGATAACTCTTCTCAGCAGTCTGGATTACCTGAACTCCCTTGGAAGATTCTGGAAGAGCCTTCTTGGCCCTGGCAAGAAAGGATGGAGGAAGGATGTCATCAACAACAGCACGTGCTAAGAACAAAGCAAGGATGTCAACTGCATCCAGTATGTCTACTGCAAGATCATCAGCAGATTCAATAAGCATAAAAAATCCATCCCTAATCTGTGCAGGACTGATGACATCAGCATACAATGCTGAAAGCAGAACTGAAGCCATTTCTTTCTCCTTATCGTGCTTATCCATGGCCATGGACACAAGACGTTTAATGACGTATGGATAATATTCGTTAGAGCCAAGTTCTCTGAGGTCAGATGCAGCCATGTCCACATCCCCAGTACTGAAGAACTCCTCTATGATGGATACTATGGCTTTCTTGAATTCATCTAATGGGTCAGTAACGGTAGATCCAACCAACTGATAAGGTTCCTGTAAATAGTAAGAATATGCCAACAGAAATAAATTATGTGCTTATTTATGGATCCCATTCGCAACAGCCACCAAAAAAAAAGTAATGATAATAAGCAGGCAACTATTTGCAATTCAGATAAATTAATTGAAAAGGAAAGAAACTGGTATTTAAAAAACAAATTACCTAACTGGGGCAGTCCTGCACACATAAGCATGCCACATGGATGTCATTCCTCGTGGCAACTTGCAAGGCACCACAAGAAATGGCTCCATATAAATAAATAAAAAAAAATTTGCACCACCTGCCATGTGGCTAGCTCATGTGGGACACTTTCCTCCTCTCTACCGGTAACTGAATTGTTTTTGTATCGCTCACGAACACACACATTAACCAATGCATTCCCACATAGAAGGCAATGCTTACATTCTCCAAATAATTGACTACTTAACAATGTTTCAGGCAGAGCCTAGGAAATGGTGTAACTTACTCTACTTAGAATTGGCTTATGTCTAATGGCCTTTGTTTTGCAATAAATGAAGAAATGCCATGAAAAAGAAATACAGAATAAATTAATGTATGGGGACGCAAGAAGTAAGTTTAGATGTTTTCACCAAACTCTCAGAGAGAAAGGAATTGATTAGGTCAAAGTAGTTGATTGGGCTAAACAACAGTGAATACATGGGGTTTCAGTAGGAAATGTGGTTGTTAATTCTTCAAAGAGGCAGTCAAATGTTCTTCCATTCATGCTTTGGCGCACATTTCATGTTAGATGTTATACTACTAGTGCTGTTAGTTTAAATTTTAAACAAAAACAGCCATCAAAACTGATGGCAAATGTGATGCACTTATAGTTGGCCCATTGTACATGGCCCAACCATTGATTCAAGAAACTCGTAGTCAACTAGAGTTGTGGCCCAATAAGTATGGCTCAATTGTTGAAAGAGGCAGTGATTTGAAATATGACAAACTACAATCGAATCCAAGTCCCAATAAAGCAGCAGATGTGATTGTGATTTGTTTGGGAAGAAAAGAAAAACAACATATTTGGTGTGATTTGAGATTAAAGTTTTGGGATGTATTTTGAATTATTTATTTGTAATTTTTTATTTATTTTTAGACGTTAATTACTGTTGTTTTATTTTAGGAAGTTTTATTATTTTTAGAATTTTAGATTTAGAATTTTGAATCAATTTGTAATTAGTCTATAAAAGGGTGCTTATGACTCTTATTCTAGGAGTTGAATTTTGTTATTTGATAATTGAAATTGAGAACCGGAGGGTTACTTTCTTATGAAATCCTAACTTTCTGTTTAGCCACTTTTCTATGTGCTTTCGGCATCATTTGCTATCAGAGCACTAGGTTACCTTCAACCAATGGCTGAACAGAATCGTGGAGGTCGACGACGGCGGAGTCACAAGGGTAGGGAACGTGGATTCGTTCCTGAAGAATATACACAACTGCGTCAGATTGACCCGCGAGATATAGAAAATGAAGAGCTCGGAAGGCGGATCCAGGATTTGAAGCAACAACTTGAGCAAGCATTGGACAAGAAAATTCAAGTTTTGAAGCAACTATGTGTGCGGGCACAGAGAAAGAGAATTCAAGATTTTGAGCGACGACTCGTGTGGATATGCATGGAAATTCAAATTTTGAAGCAAACTTTTGTGGAGGTGCAGAGCATGGAAATTTAATATTTGGAGCGGCGACTTGCGTGGACAAAGTTCGGCATTCAATCCGAAGAAATAATGGAATTAGTTGACGCATCTGATGACGAAGAAGAGGACGTCAATCCCTTGGGGATTCTAAACCAGGGACAGAATTGGAAAGTACAACCTGGAAATCAGTCCACTTTTCAAGATATCGAGATGCAAATCAGGATTCCTGATTTTGAAGTCTATGATCATAATCCAATTTATGATGATTATCAGATCTATGATGATAATCCAATTTATGATGATTATCCGATTGTTGATAATTATCCCATTTATGATGATTATCCATCTTATGATGAAGATTCAATTCACGATGATAATCCAGTCTATAATAAATCTGATGGTGAATCAATTTTATGAAGATCTAATAGAGGAAGATTTATCATTTGAATTTTTGTCTAAAGAAATTGAGATCAGTGGAGATAAACAAGATTCGAGGACGAATCTTTTCCTAGCAGGGGAGAATGATGCACTTATAGTTGGCCCATTGTACATGGCTCAACCATTGATTCAAGAAACTCGTAGTCAACTAGAGTTGTGGCTCAATAAGTATGGCTCAATTGTTGAAAGAGGCAGTGATTTGAAATATGACAAACTACAATCGAATCCAAGTCCCAATAAAGCAGCAGATGTGATTGTGATTTGTTTGGGAAGAAAAGAAAAACAACATATTTGGTGTGATTTGAGATTAAAGATTTGGAATGTATTTTGAATTATTTATTTGCAATTTTTTATTTATTTTTAGACGTTAATTACTGTTATTTTATTTTAGGAAGTTTTATTATTTTTAGAATTTTAGATTTAGAATTTTGATTCAATTTGTAATTAGTCTATAAAAGGGTGCTTATGACCCTTATTCTAGGAGTTGAATTTTGTTATTTGATAATTGAAATTGAGAACCGGAGGGTTACTCTCTTATGAAATCCTAACTTTCTGTTTAGCCACTTTTCTATGCGCTTTAGGCATCAAAATGTAACCTTTTTTGTTCTCCTTTGTCTAATTAAAGGGAACGAACCGGAGCAGTAGTAAAGTTGTCCCTTCATGACTGAAAGGTCATGGGTTCGAATCCAGAAAACAGCCTCCTTGCAATTACGCAAGGGTAAAGCTGCGTACAAGGATTGCCTTCACCCACACTTGCTAATCGGGTATAACGGGGAGTGGTTTTTGTCTAATTATTTATGCAATGGAATAGATTAGTCATGGTTTATGTTGTTGAATTGCAATACATATTGTGAATCACTTGGCTGTTTTTTTATAGTGAATTGTAAATCGTTTCGAATCATAAGATTGAGATATATAATAAAACATGATTTGAAAATTATTAGAATATTAGCATATTACTTTCTTGTACTTTTTTATTCTTTCATTTTATCTGTGCTTAGTGGCCACGTCACTCACTCATTGTAACAGAATTTGTTGTGCTTAGTGGCCACGTCACTCACTCATTGTAACAGAATTTGTTGCTCCCTTTCCTTTAAATTCCTTACTGTTTGTACAATGAAATCAATCAATGAATATACATAATTTTATTTTTCTCTGCTTTCTGTTAGATATGATCTCCATTGTTAATATTGCTAACATGGTATCAGATGAAAATCTTTAATGGCCCGCGGCAATCGTCCTCCTGCTGCTGCTGAGGTTTCTTCTGGGACCCCAACTGGTGCTTCTTCCTTCATGGATGATGCATCCAGCCCTTATTTTCTTTCCAGTAGTGATCATCCTGGGTTGATTTTGGTAACCCATGTTCTCGATGGTGCTAATTATAGTTCCTGGAGTCGATCCATGCTCCTAGCTCTAACCGCCAAGAACAAAACGCCCTTCATTGATGGTGCTCTTCCTCGCCCTTCGGATATCGATTTGCTTTTTCCTTCATGGAATCGCTGCAACTCGATGGTCATTTCTTGGCTTTTGAATTCTGTTTCTAAAGCTCTAGCTGATAGTTTGATATACTTTTCTAATGCGTCTGATGTTTGGGTTGATTTATGCACCCGATTTCAACAAGCAAATGGCCCTCGCATTTTTCAATTGAAGCAGGAAATCTCCTCTCTACACCAAGGTTCCTTCGATGTCAATACCTACTATACCAAGTTGAAGACTCTGTGTGAGGAACTACAGACTCATATTCCTCTTCCACCGCGTACTTGTGGTGGATTACGGCGGCTCACGGTGTCTCAGCAACAACACGATGCTCTCCAATTCCTTATGGGTCTCAATGACTCTTTTTCTTCAGTGCGTGCTCAGATTTTGCTCATGGATCCCCTCCCCTCACTTGCTCGGGTTTTCTCTCTTGTGCTTCAGGAAGAAAGGCAACGTCAGATCTCAATATCCATCCCTGCCACACCTGACACACCGCTTCTTAATTCGGTTTCCACCACACCGCCTACATCCTCACCGTCTGGTGTTGTTGCTCCACTGGTTGCTGCTACTGGTGCTCCACGCTGTCGCCCGTTCTGTACCTTTTGCCATGCTCAGGGCCATGTGAAGGACAAATGCTTTCGCCTCCATGGTTTCCCCCTTGGGTATAAACCACGTCAACCCACTTCCAGGCTCCCTTTTTCCCCAACCTCTTCTCAGTGTAACCCATCCCCACATAACCCACCTTTTCCTAAACCGGCCCAATACACTTCGGCTCAAACCAACTTCACCCAATCTCAGCACCCTTTCCCCAATTCGTTCAACACCGTCCCTTTTCCTCACCCTAATTTCCCCTCATCTCCTGCGATTACTCCAACCCAATATGCTCACCTCCTTTCGCTTCTACCCACGAGTTCTGCTGCTTCGGTTGCTCCTTCATCTTCTTCAGTCAACGGTTCTTCTCCTTCCATAGGTAAACCTCCTCGTCCATCTTCTTGTCTTTTTCCTGATTATTTTTGGATTTTAGACACTGGTGCTACTCACCATGTGTGTTATTCTTCCCGTTTACTTCTGTCATCCCCTCTTTCCACTACCTCTGTCGTGTCTTTCCCTAACAGCTCGACGGTTTCTGTGTCTGGTTCGTTTTCTGTTTCTCTGTCTCCCTCTTTAAACCTTTTCGATGTATTGTTTGTTCCTTCATTTACTTTTAATCTTTTATCTATCAGTGCTCTTACCCGTGACAATCCCATCGTTGCTAATTTTACTTCTTCTCATTGCATTCTGCAGGATTCTATCAAGGCAACGACGATTGGGATTGCTAAACGTTTTGGCAATCTTTATGTTCTTAATGCATCGTCCCTTATTCCTGAGTCTATTGTTCCCCCACCCCTTTGTTTTGCTGTAAATAGGTCTAGTGCTTCTCTTTGGCATGCTAGACTAGGTCATCTTTCTTTTTCTATGCTTAATTCCATGAAGAATGTTTTGCATCATACTGAGCATATAGTTCCTCCTCACCATTGTAATATCTGTCCTCTTGCAAAACAAAAGCGTTTACCGTTTATTTTAAATCCTTCAATATCTTTTGTTCCTTTTACTTTACTTCATTGTGATATATGGGGTCCATTTCGACCCATGTCTGTTGAAGGTTCCAAGTATTTTTTAACTTTAGTTGATGATGCTTCTCGATATACTTGGACATATTTTTTGAAACGTAAGTCAGATTTCCGTTCTGTTTTTGTTCATTTTCTTAATCTCATTCAAACTCAATATCATGCTTCCCTTAAGGCCATCCGTTGTGACAATGCTCCTGAATTCATGTTGACTGACATTTTTGCTTCTAAAGGTATTCAGGTTTTTCACTCATGTGTTGATCGTCCGCAGCAGAACTCGGTGGTGGAACACAAACACCAGAATATCCAAAAAAAAAAAAAAAATACAAGAAAGTAATATGCTAATATTCTAATAAAAATATATCATATCATATAAGTTATGGACCTGTTTGGAGCACCTGATAAAGAAGATAGGATATGATAACTTCTCATATCCTACTTTTATCTATTGTTTGGTGGGTCAATAGGATATGATTAGCTTATCCTATTGTCTCATTTTATCCTATCCAATACATGATTTCTTATCCTATGGGAGGAGTTGGGTTAGGATTCAATAGGATAGGATACCAAAATTGGATACCCAATATATCCTCACGCTACCCAATGTATCCCCACACTACCCAATTTATCCCCACACTACCCAATATATTTGTATTTATTGCATTATATTTTGTTTTTTCTTTCTCTTTTCTCTTTCTACATAATCTTATCAGATTGCCAATCAGGTGTTCATCAAACACAAGACATGATATAGGTTTATCAGCCTCATATCATATCCTATCCTTATCAGCCTCATATCATATCCTACCCTTATCCTATCATGTCCACCAAACGAGCCCTATATGTACGCAGTTTGAATGTTTTTGTTTTCTAAGCTGTTTCCTGTTTTCGTGAACGTTTGAAACTGAAAGTCTCTGTTTTTGTGTTTTGTTACGCAAGTCTCTATTCCTGAATGTCCTGGAGTTTGAATATTCTGAGTTATTCTCTTGCACAAGTCTCTGTTTTAGTGTTTTCTTTTCCTAACATATTAATTTGCATTAATTTGAATGACTTTCCAAATTCGTATTAATTTGAATGACTTTCCAAATTCGTATTAATTTGAATTTGAACGTCTCTGTTTCCCTAATCTTAAGAGACTTTCAAGCTTCGTATTTCATTGAACTCTCCATAGTCATTTAAGTTTTCAAATCTAGAATCACAAATCTTGGATTGAATTTCGAATCGCAAATTTCGACACTATTCACAATACGATACTTAATCGCATCACAATACGATACTTAATCGCATGATTCCGCAATTCATGGTCCTTACATGTCTTCGATACGTATCGTTCAACCTTCGTATCGAATCGTATCATGTATCGTGCAATACTAATAACTACGGACTCGCAGTCATCTTTTGTTTGCTATTCTTTGCTATTGTACCCTAAAAAATAGTAATAACAAAATAATCATGGTCAATGGTGAATTGATGGTGACATTGAAGGGAATTAATAAATCTCACAATTAATTGGTCTTTTGCGTCAGTTAATGTGTGATTGTGAAAGCTGCAAAAACAATTTAATTACAAGTATAGAGGGGAGGAAAGTGCGCCACGTGGCTAGCATCTATGAAAGATACTATCCCCGTGATGTTTTACATGCGCTAGCGCCACCTGGATTGGCGTCTTGCACACGTGGGGTAATTGTAAAAAAATGTAAATATTTGTTTGCTTTTTCAGCCAAAGAAACAAAAGAAACGCAACAAGAAAAGAATCCAGTCTACTGCTGCTACTATAAGCATCACGTAAAATTTTCAAACAGCTAGACTTTAAATAATTAGTGTCGTCAGAAACTACCCACCAAACCAGAAAATAGCATTTACCTCGCCACTGTCGTAGTTAGGATCATTCCTGTCTATATGCGAATAACCATCGGTATCAAGCAATTTTCCCCATGTGCCCTTACCACCAGCACCGTCTGCATTCAAGAGATACATCACATCAAATTACCACATGAAGACCATTAATGAAACAAAGCAAACTATAACATAAAATGTTGATACTGCAAGTGAAAACTACAAGCAAGGGAAACTCAGCACCGTTGATTAACATGAAGACTGTCAATCCAAAATGAAAAACTAAAATCATCAGTCTGAAACACTCAAAGATCTATTTGGATAAGCTACACTGACAAATCTCCTTATAACCAGTCAATCAAAAGACAAGACACATTGCATGATATGAAATGAATTCACCTTTCTTTACCCTCACAAACTTTCCCGAGTTCGACCGGCGTACATGCCTGCTGCCAGCAACCGCAGCAGTTTGAGGCTTGCCACCCCAAGAAGCTTTGGTATGATTATGTTCAGAAAGCAAAGACGATGGAGATTTCGGCGACGAAGACAAATTCTCCAAATTCTCAGTCGCAATTTTCAGTATTTCCCTCTGCCCATCGGTCAGAAATCCCTCGCTTGATGCCATTTATAAAAGCCAACCCTACAACACAAACACCTTCACCAAATTAATCTTATTAACACATCAAAACCGAATATCAATGAAACGTCATGTGCGCTTCAAAATTAGTGCATCTTCAAACGAATAAATGAGTAACCGTGTTAGGTTGGTGAGAAACTGCAAAACTAGTGTTCACTATCCAAAAACTGAGTTTGGTTGCTGAGAAACTGCAAGAAATAATAGTAATACTATATCACACTCAAAACTACCACGCGCATGAACTGTTCTGCTCTACTAACCAACATCATGCGAATGTATTCCTTTCCTCCCAAAACAAACACAAACACACACGAAAAGAGAACCAAAGATTAAGAGAAAAGAGAGAAAGGGAGAGAATATGAACCTGAAGAGAGAGTGATGGAAATGGAAATCTGAATCCGATTGTACACTGTGCTTGGCCCGGATCTCGAGCCAAGACAGGAGAAGCAACCGGATTTCGGAATCGGAAGCTTCCAAGAGAAGGGAGAAAATCCGAAATAACCCTAATCGGATCCGAATCAGAGAGAGTGGGTTTGGGGCTTGGGGTTGTGTTATAACTGCAGAATCAGTTAGTGAAACTGAGGATGAGAATGTGAGGAGAATATAAACGAAACGGATTGGAATGAGAAAAGGAAGAGGACCCACGAAAAACCCCATAAGGCAAGCTTTACATAAGATTATAAGAAGGTCACTATTTCCTCTATCCACGTGTCCCTCTCGTGATGTACCCTGTCTTTAACTGCCACCTGGCTTCCCATTCCAATGCCTTTACGAAGGAAATTTTTTTTACTCGTACCATGGTAGTTAAAATCTAGATTTAAATCTTAAAATTCTTTCACTTAAAAATTTTTTCAATATAAAATCCCGATTTAGACATTTACTTAAGTCTGATTTTAAGATTTAAATTCCAATTTTAACTATTGGAATGATATTAAGCAAGTTAGAAAAATTATTGAATATAACATTGCTGATATTTCATCCGAAGATGAATGGATTGTGGAAAATGAAAAAACTTTATCTCATGATAAAAGTTTAGATGAAGACAATTTTGAATGATGTAGTTGAAGATCACGTAGAACAGAATGTCTTCGATGATAATAACTTGAATGATTTATTAGCTTAGACCCTTAGAGTGTGACAATTATATACAAATTTATAAGGATGGTGGCAGGTGGTCTATTTTTCTTAATTTTTTTTTATACATAAGCATATGTATATAAAAATTTAATTTTAGAGTGCAGGTAAAATCTACGATTTTTATTACGATTTACGATTTTTTATTCCCTTTTCGATTTTAGGTAAAATCCTGATTTTGACTACCTTGGTCATACCGACTATTTTTCATATTTTTTATCAAATCATTTTCTTATCTAATTTTAAAATTAATGATTTGATAAAAGTAGGACACAAATTACATTGTGAGTGGAAGATGCATTAAAAATTTACTTTACTAAAGACTGTGTTCTAGTTGGATTATTCAAATTGTCAATATATCCTCTCTTATCTATTTTATACTTATTAGTAATAAAGGGAAAAGGCAACCTAGGGTGCGCACACTTGGTAGTGAAATGTGCCCAAGAATAAGGCCATGTATCGATTATTGGTAGACTTTGGGCCAGATTTGCACTTTAAGTCTCAGTTGGGAGATTAGTCGCATTCCTTCTCCGGTGATAACTGTCTAATGCACTTGTTGTATCAATAAGGAGCTAACTTTAGTGGTCGTACTCTGAGGGTAAAGTGGCTGAAGGAGATTGAATGGGGATACCTTCATGTTAATACTAAAAAAAATTAAAGGGAAAACGGTATTAGCCCCTACGGGAGCAATTAATATTTTCTAAAATATCTCTAAAATAATTTAAAAGCCAACTGAAAAACAATTTCAAAGTTATATTCAGGTATTATGTAAGTGTCTTTTTTTTCTTTTTGATAAACCACATTTATCTTTTACGGAAGTAATTCTGTTCGAGTGAGGAACATTCACATCATGGTAGGGCTAGCTCTGCTTAAGCAGAATCAAGCATATATCACTTGAACCAACTCTTTTTTTTAAAAAAATACTGGAATGAAAACTAAACAGCAGTATAGATTCTAAGGCTAGTCACGCCCATCGTGTCCCTACTCAACAGCAAGTTACAATCAGTAAGGGGTTCATGCAAAACATGCAAGTCCCAGTCTAGTAACCACCCACCTTTGTTAGCTAACCTATCTGCTACCATATTGCCTTCCCTATAAGTATGACTTAGTTTATAGTTCCATTGCCTTCCCAGGAGATTTTGGATTCAACGGATCAAGGGAGCCAAAGGATGCTTCATATCACAACCTTTCTCATGAGGCAGATGACCACTTTGGAGCCACCTTCAATCCATAATTTTCTTAATCCCAGGTTCCATGCAACCTCAATACCGCAAACAAAACCCCAAAGTTATGCTCTAATAGAGAAGCCCATCCCTAAGTTCCTACAGAACCCAGCTATCCATCTTCCTGAAGCATTCCTAACCACACCTCCACAACTAGAGATCCTACCTCCATCACGACAAAAGCCATATCTAAAAACTCGCACCGCTAAATTAAGAATTTAAATAATTTAATTATGATATGAGAAATAATTCTATAATTTATGTTGAATAATTGAGAGGAAATTATAATAATTAATATTAAGTTGCTTTTTAGAAGAAAACTGCAAACACCGGTAATTTCACGGTATAAATGGGTATCGACGGAGTAACCCAGAAAATTAATATAAAAATATGATAATTCCTAGAAAAATATCTAGGTTAAGAATATAAAGTTTGGAAGAAGAACAATTAGTAAAGCTATTAGAACTAATACCAGTGATTAGTGGGTACACCTATATAAATAGAAAATGTGCACAAAACCCTAGGTCATATTTTACAAGTTTTACGTAGGTGTTCTCCTTTGTTTCATGCTGCCATATTACTCTACCTTGACACCATGCTCTCTGTAACACCCCGTGTATATCCGGTTTGTTATCTTGTCATCGTATTAAGCTGCGCTTAATTAAAAATGCTGAATAACTTTTTCTTTTCATTTATGACGTTATTAACATTAACCAAGTTGATTACTTAGTTCTTTTTCAAAACATCATTTGTATGTAGATTGCAATTAAACATCTAACTGAAAAATCTCATTACATATATAATAAGTGAGTATCTAAGTCACGAAACTACAACACATAATCCGGACCATAATCCTGATACAATTATACAACTTCATTTCGAAATAAAACATATATAGTCAAACAATGTGGCATGGACAACATCTGTGCTCACCAAATAAGGCAACAAAGCCTAACAGAGTCTCACATCAAATAATCATACTAATAGAAGTAAAACATGTCAGAATCCAGCATATCATCATAACAGCATAAATCTAACTCAGCTCTGGCCTCCTGCTGCCCGAGTATTAACCCCCGAGGTACCTGATCCTGAAAATGTGCCCCAAACATGGGGTCAGATCTCTAAAAAGAAATCTCAGTAAGACAAGGGGTCCTCAAGGACTCTTCCGCCCCAAGCTTACTTACAGGCATAATATAAGTTCAAAACAATAATTTCAATGCATGTTCATGTTAAGCATATATTTCATGACATTATAATCTCTTGCTCAACGAGCGAACATTTAACTCAGTAATCATGTGATGTATGCAAATGTGATTCGACTGGCCAGGGAACATGATATGGATTATGCACGTCTGCGACCCATCTAAACATAAGAGTCGCAGTGTTATGCCTTACACACCAGAGTCGTTGTCTGATTGTGTAAGTAAACAACATCACTTCCATACACTACATGCCTTACACACCAGAGTCGCAGTCTGATTGTGTAAGTAATCAACAGACATATTCACATATCTCAGGCATATATCAATGCATATAACATTTTCATAAAAGCATACAATGCATATAGACCACCCTTCCATGGAGGTCGGTGGAACAACAACAGATCAATCCGAGGACACAAAAGCTTACATGTACCCGTATGCCCCTCTGACTCGAACACGGTATCACAAGGGTCCACACTGCAAATAGAATCCAATGCACTCACAAATCTGGTTCAATGACCATCATAGTATCAATATACATATTCTAAAATTTCAAGAAAATCGGATATTATTTTCTTTTTCATTTCGAACCTGGAGATCCTTTCTAAGATGTATCATTTAACTTATTTAATTTTAGAAGATTTTATCTTATAAATATATATATAGCCACAATAATATATATTATCTATAAAAATATAAATATATATATATATATATATATATATATATATATATATATATATAATCCGAGAACCAAAATTTGTAAAAGTAAGCATACTTTCTAAACTTTTCTAACTTAGATGACTTCAAGGACCAGTACATTGAAAGGCTAGTAACAATATATATATATATAATTAGTTATATTAACTTTGATGACTCCCTGGATTCATATATATATAACACAACTTGGACCAACGTGAATGCACTAAATTGGGTACACAGTGACCAAATTCAAAGTGCTGAAATTTCATTTGGAGTCACGCAAATCGATGCAACCAAACCATAAAAATGACAAAACAAAAGGCCATCTACAGAGGAAGATAGCGCACACTATACGAATGCCATTTTCTTTTTTTTATTAAGATGGATTCTGAATCAACAGTAACATACAACAAAGATTATAACCAAAATTATAGATTTACAAAGGGATAGTTAACTTTACCTTGATTCCTTTTTAGAACAGAAAAAAATGAAAGCTTTAGAGATTGAGAAAGCACCCAAATCCTTCAACAATGGGTTATCCTTCAACAAGACTAGAACTTTAATGGTTAGGTGATGTTTCAATGGAGGAGAGGAGGAAAAAGATGGAAACTTTAGAGGAGAAGGCTAAGACTCCAAGAAACTCCAAAGGGAAGCCACACTCATCCGCTGGTTAAAAAGAAACATAGGATTTTGATCCCTTTCTCTATTTATATTGTCACTTAAGTTAAACTAACAGTATTAGTTTAATTAGTTCCGCTCTTCGTTTAACTCTAAAATTATAAATTCTTAACCTAGATATTTTTCTAGAAAATTTCATATATTTATTTTATTTTTTCGCGATACTTTTTCGGTACGCATTTTTCTCGCTATCAGTATTAGTTCCGACACCAGTTCTCATTATTTTGACTCCAAACTTGACATACTAGTCCTAGATATTATTCTAGTAATATATACATACTTTTTATTATTTTTCGGGATACTTCATCGATACGCATTTATACTGTGAAGCAGAACCAGTATATGCATTTTTCGTCAGAAAAGCGACTTTCAACATTATTAATCACTTACCATAATTATTTAAGCTTACTCATAATTATTTAAGGTCAATTATGGAATTTATCTCTTAGCTCATAATTAAATTAATTAAATTCCTAGTTTAACGGTGTGAGTTCTTACATTCTCTTCCCCAAGAAATCACCCAAGACACCATTTTTCCTCTTGATTCTTCCTCTCTAACCTTGTAAATACTTGAGAGAAAACTTGGTGAGGGGAAAAACCACTTCTTGAGAGGTTCTGGGTTCT